CTTTTAAATATGGCGTTTATGGATTTAATCTTTGAAACTAACTACATGTGTGTAAGTCCGCTTTATTTGGGGGCGCTAAAATCATGTCACGCGTACGTATACACAATTGATCATGCTTTATTAATGTTAAGATTGTTTGGACAATGTCAAGCGAACGTGTACCTTGATTTATTTGTGGAAAATCATAATTATATCACGCGAACGTGTACACAATTACGATAGTAGATTAAATGCGCGCCTAAAAACATTGCTACGGATATTCAATTTTTAAAAATCGTAATCGTGTCACGCGAACGTGTACATAATCACGATAATTTGATTAAGTGCGTGCCTAAGAAGCATTTCTACGGAGATCCATAAGTTGTTTAATGTTCCTAGAATTTGAGTTACTGGCAGAGAGGTCTAGACATTTCAGATGTCTTATTCGAAAGCTGAAATGTTTACTTAGATTACGCGAGGACATCATTCTTCAATTGCAAAGTCTTAAAGCAGACACATGATTTAGTTTTATTCGATTATTACAGAATACATAAGGGAAGAAAATTAAGACAACTCCAAGTCCAAATTATTCACAGTTTTGATAATCTTTTCAACAGAAGAGCACGGAAAAAATATAAATTGAATTCACACCTATTATGCTCTATTACTATAGCCCATATGAGGCCCCTAATTGAAATCCTCATGGGGGTTTAGGCCTGGCAGACTACAGCCGGCCAAGCTCTTAGTGAAAATGCTATAACGAAGCCCAAATGCTCCATGTACTAGTGAAAAAGCCAAAATTTTACGGTATAGCCAGTTTTCGGACTGGTCAATCAAAAATAGCCAGCGTTTACCAAGTTAATGAAAAATAGCCACCGTTTTGCTACAATAGAGACCGGTCCAGCATAATATACTGGAGTTCGGTGCACTTGTGTATGAACTCCAGCATATTATGCTGGACCGGTATACTTTGCTGGCTCCAGTATAATATACTGGAGACTGGAGCACTGGTGCTCCAAACTCCAGTATATTATACTGGACCATTATACTTGCTAGAACTCCAGTATATATGCTGGAGTTCTAGTGTATTTATGCTGGAACTCCATCATATTATGATGGAGTTCCAGCATACTATCCTGGAACTCCAGTATAATATGCTGGAGTTCAAGTATACTTATGCTGGAACTCCAGCATAATATACTGGAGTATTTTTCGGGTTTTGAACAGTGTTTTTCGCTCAGATGTATCTTTACATAAAAAGTGGTTAAATTTCGATTACTTTTAAAATTGGGCTATTTTTGAACGACCAATTATAAATCTGTCTATTTTTAAAAATCACCCAGTGAAAAAGCCAAATTGGGCTTGCTGGCCTATCAGGACCAAAATTAAAACCACAAATCCCATATACCCAAATAATTGAAGCTTTCAAATCAAAACATATAATTACTCTGGACAAATTCCAAAATTAATCAAATACTATACTAAGTTATAATTAGTTGGGAACACTGGAAAGCCCATAACAAGAATAAATTGAACCCGTTACATTGAAGAAACTAACCTTTTCAATTACAGTCATTGTTTACGGTCAACTATACAAGTTATAGAGATTCTAACGAGCACCTATACTACTGCTTCATATTGATAGGACAAACATACACTAAATTACTTGTTTAAATTCTTATGAGGATCTTGTAAGCCTGATATCCCTCATAGATGGATATGACCAACTGGTGGTCATATTCACCAATTTAGGCATCCTCAATACTATGTGAATCATCTTCTTGCTAAACGAAAAGGACCAAACTGCCCGAGTTATAACCGAGTCTGCAAAAGCACAACTCCTAATACAAATACCCATATGATTCCAAATCAATTCTTAGTTAGTTTTCAAGAAGGCAAAATAGAATTCAATTCACTTTGATGTAATCACTAAGTAACTGACAAGTTGAACATCTAATAGAAGGCATACTAGTAGCAAAAAGGAGGTTTATCAAGAATAAAACAACCAAATGAGGTGAGAATCACACAAACTAGGTCTAGGAAAATCAGATATGAATTCAACATGATTAACACAAAGTCCATCTATAAACTCGAACAGAAAAGGGCATTGGTTCGAACAGAAATGATTAATCACTAAAGGGAGCATTTATCAAACACATAAGTAACCTATGATTGCAGGTTTCTTGACATTATAACATTTAAACAGCTAATACATCAAAGAGATTGAAACAGTACCTTGAAGCGGCAAAGCAAGAAAAGAAAATAAATCTCCGACTTTAAAAATGCACCTAGAAATCAGATTCAGTAACAGCTTGCCAACACAACAACCAATAGCAGAAAACCAAACACCAAAAATATCTTCAAACTCAAATCAGAGGTCCTTGCAGCATGAGAGAAAACAAAATGAAATGGAAAGGAAAATCAGCCTGGAAATCTCTTTTTTGTTTTTGTTTTCTGTTTTCTAGCTTTAAACCTAAAGAGAAAGAAAATCAGAAAGGCAATGAAGAGAATGAGTCTCTGAATTTCTAAGGGTTTCTCGTGTAAAAAATCTGTCTCAGAATGTGAAAGGGGGGGGGGGAGGTCTCTTTTATAAGCAAAGGGTGAGGGAATAATCTGACAAATGCAGTCCCTAAAATTTAGGGGAAAAAAATATCTTTTTAACAGAAAATGAACAGCTATTGGGACATCTGTCCATTCAGATATTTACTCATAGTTTTTCTGCCCTTTTATCCCCTTTAACCCCAAAATCTGATCTAACTCAGTTGTTTTATTATATTTTAGTCCCTTGTCTCTATTCTAGAACTTTCTCAAACAATTATAGCCTAAGATTCTTTCAAATTCAAAGACTACATTGCCCTCCCAACCTTCTGTAATTACCCCTCCCTTTATCTTGCCCTCAATTACTATTATCTCTTAACCTTTCCTTGATATTCAATTCAAAATTCTTAAACAAACAAACTTGAATTAATTAAGCCGAGACTGAACAGAAGCAATAAACTAACTAAAACAACGACAAACAATCCTAAATAAATACTGATCAAGCACATAATTATGAGTGAATTAGCAACTAAACAAATAATTTCTTAACATGCTAAATCACAATAATAATCAACACTAAATTACTGAAACCTTAGCTAACCTAATCGAACTAAATGTTCTTAAGTCACTAAATGCAATCAACACACAAAAACAGTAACATTGAGTTATGCAATTAAAACAAAGAAAACATGAAGGATTGAAAAGAGGAAGCACCTACTAATGAACACAACCAGACTTTAAGAAATCCGACCAATGATCGATACGATGTGTGAGCATTGATTCATGCTTGAAAAGCAGAACCAACGCTACACAAAGCAATAATGACCATGGCCGGCCAGCGAGGTTGAGTAACCCAAACAGACAGTTGAGAAATGTCATGAAACCAACATTTGGTAACTCCTAACACGAGCCAACAACTGATGCGACCCCAAATTTAGAAGGAAAATAAAAAAGGGGGGAGGGGGGAAGGCTAGAGAGGATGGAGAGAGAAGTACAGGTGTGAATTTGAGGGGATTTGGAGTAACGCCGTCACCATAGGCTATTTCCGGCGGTGGCCAGCGACGGATCTTTGAGAGAGAGGTGAAAGATGAGTTATGGGTAGTCTAGGGTTTGGGGGGGGGGGGTTTCTAATTTCGGATAGTTATAAGGTTATGGAGTGATCAATTCCTGGCCGTTGGAGCGAGTATGATGAAGGGCTGGAATTAGGTTGGGTAAAACGGGGTCGTTTGGCTCAAGGGGTGGGGCCGGACAGCTCTGGGGTTTGGGCTGGGCGGATTTGAGTAATTTTTGGGCCATTTGGCCCAGCAGAGTGCTTCTTTCAATTTCTTGCCTTCACCTTGTTTTTTAAATGGTCACTCTTAATTAAATCTTATATCAAACCTAATTTGCAAAATTAACCTATTCATTTGTTTTAATTCAAGATTAAGCTAATTAACATATTGAATTAACTAATTGACTAATTAACTACAAATGTAAAAAGAAAAGAAGAGTAGCTAAAATGTAATTTGTGATTTTTATATTTTAACAATGCAATTTAATCTAAAATGCAACAAGTAAAAGATAAAAAAAAATTGATGATTTTTTAGGATTTTTAAAAATATTTCTAAATATGCATGAATGCAACTAAATTCAAATAAATGCAAACAATCATCCTAAAAATTCTATAAAAATTAAAAATAATTAGAAAAAGTCTATTTTTTGTGTATTGTAATAGTATTTTTCGTCGGGCAAAAATCACGTGCTCACAAGGAGCGTGTAAAAGAAAAAAACGAGAAATAATTTGAGGCGGAGGAAGAACATGATATATTTAAGATCACAAGATCCAAGGACATTTTGGTACATTCTTATATTTTTTTTTTAAGACCACAAGATTTGAAAGTCTTTATTACTTTTTAAAACTTTGAGTTAATCAAATTAAAATACATAAATTTAAACGAGAAAGTATGTTGGGGTAAATTTGCATCAATAGTTATTTATTATTTGCAAATAATTCAATGTTTATTAATAAAAGATCTGTTGTGAATATTGAACTTCATTACTAGAACTACCGGTAAAATATACTCTTTTCGGTTTACTTTATTTATTTTTTTGCCTTTTTTTTTGTGGTCCATAATATTTAATTTTTTCAGATATAAAAAAGAAATTAACTTCTTTTTTTCAAAGTTGCCCTTGGAGCAAAGAGCCTTAGAGCATTATTATATTTTCATTGAACAAATTAAGGTTAATATGGTCAATTTTATTGTTAATTAATGCTAAATAATGAATGCGTTAAAACATTAAAAAATTAATTAAAGTAGACCAGAGGGAATAGTATTTGAGTAAAATAATTATTTTCAATCACCAAACTTCTAGCCTTTTTTTTTTTTTTTTAAAGAGAAAAAATTCCCAACTTTAAAATATCTACGTCTTCCTCAAACCCAACCTTAATTTTCCCATCCTTTCCTCTTTTTATTTTTTAAATTTATTTTCTACCTGCATTTCATTTCATCCCACACAAACCATTTTAAAATATCTCTAGTCATCCTCAAATCCTAAAATCCTAACCCACAGTTAAATTTCAGCTCAACTCCATAACCAACTCTTAAACGCCTCGCTTGAAGATTCAGCAGAAAAAGCATTTTCTTTCCTCATGATTATACAATTCCTTATCTAGGAATTGTTAAAGGCATGTAAATTTCACTGATTATTCTTATTATTATTTTTTATCCATGGCTGTAATTGTACTTAGCTCCTCAACAATTTGCTGCAACAATTTCAATTGTATATCTTTAACTGAGACTAGACAATCTACTAATAGTAGTAGTACACTACATTTATCAATTGGTTATAGTGGGTTAGTTAGAGGAGGAACATGTTCCAGAGTCTTGGATTTTTTTCCTTGTGGGTATGTGATTAACTGCAAGAAAATTAGGAAAAGAAATGTGGGGTCCTCAAGATTTGTCATAAAAAGTTCCAAAAATGATGTTTTGTTAGTGAATGGGAAAAAACCTAGAAACAACATCTCTGCTGAGGAGGTATTGAGGGACTTGAAATCGATTTCGAACCCGAATGAAGCTTTGTGTTTGTTTAAATCTGTAGGGGAAATGCCTAGGGTTGTGCATACTACAGAGACATGTAATTACATGTTGGAGTATTTGAGGGTTCATGAGAGGATTAATGATATGGCTCAAGTGTTTGATTTGATGCAAAAACAGATAATATATAGGAGTTTGGATACTTATTTGATTATATTTAAGGGTTTGAATATTAGGGGAGGTATACGAGAAGCTCCTTTTGCTCTAGAAAGGATGAGAAAGGCGGGGTTTGTGTTGAATGCCTACTCGTATAATGGGTTGATACATTTGGTCCTTCAAGCGGGGTTTTGGAAGGAAGGTTTAAAGGTTTATAGGAGGATGGTTTCGGAAGAGCTTAAGCCGAGTCTTAAAACGTATTCTGCATTAATGGTCGCGTGTGGTAAAAGAAGGGATACTGAGACGGTCATGACATTGTTAAGCGAGATGGATGGTCTGGGATTAAGGCCGAATATTTATACTTTTACCATTTGTATTAGAGTGCTTGGAAGGGCCGGAAAAATTGACGATGCTTGTGCTATATTGAAGAGAATGGATGATGAAGGTTGTGCACCGGACGTTGTTACTTACACGGTTCTCATTGATGCTCTTTGCATTGCTGGCAAGTTGGATGTTGCTAAAGAAGTCTTTGTCAAGATGAAATCTGGGTGTCATAAACCTGATCGAGTAACTTACATCACTTTGCTCGACAGGTTTAGCGATCGTGGAGACTTGGACTCTGTAAGGGACTTCTTGGACAGGATGGAGGCTGATGGTTATAAGGCGGATGTCGTTTCTTTCACCATACTTGTTGATGCTTTGTGCAAAGTAGGAAAGGTCAATGAAGCGTTTGCTACATTAGATGTAATGAGGGGAAAAGGGATTTTACCTAATCTTCATACTTATAATTCTTTGATTAGGGGCCTGCTAAGAACTAACAGAGTCGATGAAGCATTAGAGCTGTTTGATAGCATGGAATCTCTTGGAATTAAGCTTACAGCTTACACATATATCCTGTTTATTGACCATTATGGGAAGTCAGGCGAGCCTGATAAAGCACTTGAAACATTTGAGAAGATGAAAGTTCATGGAATTGTGCCTAACATTGTTGCTTGCAATGCATCTTTGTATAGTATAGCAGAAATGGGAAGGCTTGGAGAGGCGAAAAGTATATTTGATGGAATTAGAGAGAGTGGATATGTTCCAAATTCTATCACCTACAATATGATGATGAAATGCTATAGTAATGCCGGGAAAGTTGATGAAGCTATTAAATTACTCTCTGAGATGATAGAAAGTGGCTGTGATCCTGATGTGATTGTAGTCAATTCATTGATTGATATACTTTATAAGGATGGTCGGGCTAGTGAGGCATGGGCAATGTTTCACAGAATGAAGGATATGAAACTGGCTCCTAGTGTTGTGACCTACAACACTCTACTGGCCGGATTAGGAAAAGAGGGAAAAATTCGAGAGGCCAATGAATTATTTGATAGCATGACTTTTCAGGGGTGTCCTCCAAACACAATCACTTATAATACGCTTTTAGATAGTCTTTGCAAGAACGGTGAGGTTGATAAAGCCTTGACGCTGCTTTATCAAATGTCTGGACCAAATTGCTCTCCGGATGTTTTCACTTATAACACTGTCATTTTTGGGTTGGCTAAAGAAAAAAGGGTAACCGAAGCATTTTTTCTTTACCATCAGATGAAGAAGAAACTATATCCCGACTGTGTAACTGTGTATGCTCTTCTTCCTACTCTTGTGAAAGATGGTTCAATTGAGGATGCTGTTAAGATTGTGGAGGGTTTCGTTAACCGAGGTTTGAATAGGTCGGAGAGATCCTTTTGGCTACACTTGATGGAAGGTGTTTTGGGAGAAGCTGACTTAGATCATTCCATTTCTTTTGCAGAAAGACTTGCATCTAATCGTCTTTGCACAAATGATTTAATAATAGTACCAGTTATAAGAGTTCTGTGCAAGCAGAAGAAAGCCCTTGATGCTCATGCACTTTTTGTTAAGTTCAAGAATGAATTCGGAATTCGTCCAACACTAAGATCATATTATCCCTTAGTTGAAGGACTTCTGGATGTTCGTCTTAAAGAATTGGCGTGGAATCTTTTCAAGGAGATGAAAGATGCTGGTTGTTCTCCCGATGTTTATACCTATAATTTATTTCTTGATGAACTTGGTAAGTCGGGGAAGGTTGATGAACTTTTTGAGCTGTACGAGGAAATGCTCCACAGAGGATGTAAGCCGTTCACGATAACTTACAATATTCTCATTTCTGGTTTGGTGAAGTCTAATAAAGTAGAGAGAGCAATAGATTTATACTATGATCTTGTAAGTCTAGGCGTTACACCTACTCCTTGTACATATGGTCCTCTCATAGATGGGCTATTGAAGGTTGAAAATTTCGACAAAGCAAAGGACTTCTTTGAGGAAATGGTGGACTATGGATGCAGACCTAATTGTGCTATCTACAACATTCTTATAAATGGGTTTGGGAAAGCAGGTGATCTTGAAGCCGCTTGTGACCTCTTTAACAGAATGAAGAAAGAAGGAGTTAGACCGGATTTAAAGACTTACACCATTCTTGTAGATTGCCTATGCACTGCAGGGAAGGTGGACGATGCTCTGCACTACTTTGAGGAACTGAAGTCAGCTGGCCTTGATCCTGATTTGATTTCTTACAACCTTATGATCAACGGAGTCGGGAAGTCTGGTAAAATGAAGGAAGCATTGTATCTTCTTGATGAGATGCAAAGCAGAGGAGTTACCCCAAACCTTTATACCTATAATTCCTTAATACTCAATCTTGGGATTGCTGGAATGTTGGAGGAGGCCGGAAAGATGTATGAAGAACTTCAGCGGCTGGGACTTGAACCCAATGTTTTTACATATAATGCTCTTATTAGAGGGTACAGCAAGTCCGGTGATCCGGATGGTGCATATGCCGTTTATGAGAAGATGATGGTTGGGGGTTGTAGCCCAAATACTGGGACTTTTGCTCAGCTACCTAATTAAAGCTTCTTTAGGTTCTTCTTTCAAAGTGAAGCTTCTGAGATTTGAGTTCCTAAACTCCGCCTCGGGCTGCTAAGGTATATACTTATTCCACCACTCCAGGCGAGCCTGCTGAGGAATTTAAATTATTTCTGTGCATGCTAAATATTCAAAATATGCTTGCCAAAAGAAGTTTTTCAAGGCATAATTGCTATATTTTCTTGTTCCTCAAATCATCGCGTACCCTCCTCTCCAATTTATGGTGTTTCCTTTTTCATTAACAGAACAACAACGCGTACAAGCTAGAAGATATTATCTTGTCAAAAATGATAGTTAGCTTGGCTAAACTGTTAACCTTAATTCCCTTTTCTTTTCTGCAGGGCTTACTTCTGCTGATCGGACGTTGTTATTTAAAAAGAGAGGTAGAGTTTATTCACTTGTTTGCAGCTCTTACATGTGTGCCAGGTTTGTTAGGCTCTGCTGCGCACCTCAAAGGCTTCGGAATTCATTTGTAAGGCGCTCTGTAAATTCCAAAATGTCTATATAAAGTGTCAATATTTGATTGTTGTAGGTTTATCCCTGTGCATCTTGTAAGAATAGTCGACAGTCTTAGCAATAACTGTAGCATCTCTTATGCTTGGTCAGAATACATGGTTCCAAACTGTAGATAACCAGCCAATGTGGAGGGAAAACTCTTACTAAAGTTTTGATTCGTTCTTCGATTTGCAATGTTAGTCTTGCCAAGAAATGTAGAGATCTCCTTACATTGTGTTGTAAAGTGTACCAACTGCTGTTCCAATATATCTCTTATCATCGATTGAATTCAGTTTTTCGATTCAACTTACAAGCTTTATTTTGAATCCGTTTATGCTTTCCATATCGCTTCTGCATTTGCAACTTTCTTGAGCCTTCAACATTTCCTTTTGAAATTTGACTGTTGATTTCCTTAGTCGGACCTCCAGAAGTGAAATGAAGATAAAGAAATATTACCACTGTATCTAATACAAACAGTATTTGCTCTTGGATTACAAAAGGCAAATAGTTAATAGGAAGAATGGTGCATAACTAGCACCCCAGTAACCACAATGCTCGTTATGTGGGTTAGACACATGTCATGTTTTTTGAACTCATGTTAAGGGAATTCAACAATTTATGTACGACAATTTTTTTTTCCCGGCAAGGAATTAATTGACTTCTCTTGCCTGAACCTGGCTATGCCCCCGACATTAATGGTAGGCTCCTGATAAAAATACTTATTATCTGGCCCTTCTTCGAATCTCGTGCTAGCAGGAGCTTAGCAGTTCTCAGTAAGCACTATAGCAGATCTCACACATCGTTTTTTCCCCTTCCAATTGCTGAGTATCTCATATATCATTTTACCTTTTTTGTTGTTCGACAAATTAGTGATGATTAGGGCATTGTAGTCTTAAAAAGAAAAGGAAGAAACGTGCTGATTAGGTTAATGGTGCATTCACACGAAAATGTGTGTGTGTGTATACATTGTTATCTACTGTGCCACCAAAAGCTCTCAGTCAAATCACTAACCTAAGTATAATCAGACCTCTATAACATACCAAATTTCATGTTTTGTTATGATATTTATGTTTTCTATAGCAGCAATTCGCTATAACATCCAAAAATATCTGGAACAAACGAGACTGTTATAGAGAGATTTGACTGTAGATATAAAAATCCAAGAAAAAGCAGAAATGGCTGAGAACTTGGGGGCTAAAAGAATTCAACCAAACAAATAAACAGTAAATTCAAAATTTATTCAGCAGCTCATAATGAGAATATATCAATTATTTGAATTATCAGCGGCATCTTACAAATAATTCTTCATCACTGCTTGGTACTGTAAAATTACCTTGTAAAATAGTAGCAGTCTGTTGCTAATTACACTGGTATAGATACCAAAATTAACTGTAATTAACAAAAGAAATTGTTCCTCTATTTACAATGTCACTACAATGAGAACTTCTCAATCTGAATTGCTTTTCGTTGATTGTAACTCTGTTTTGACAAAATGCAAATCGCTCAAAATTCCAGAACCCATGGCTATTCACATGATATTTGTATCACAATTTGTGACAATGTAGTCATCACTTTCTTAATTGCACTTTCCAACTGCCAAAAATCTTTACTGAAAATGAATCATAAGACCTCTTTTTCAAGTTTTAATACAGCCATGAATGCTTCCTGAGGTACATCAACTTTACCAATAGCTTTCATTCTTTTCTTTCCTTCAGCCTGATAAAAAGATAGAGAAATGAATCATAATGCATAAACTGTGACCCTGGTTTACATACAACAAATAAACAAAACCACCATAAGAAATGACAGGAGTACGCAAGCATAGTTTACCAGCAAGAATTTCACAAGAAATATATTGAAGAGTAAGCTCTGATTACCGTCTCATATTAATATAACCTGTTGATAAATAGTCTTGCGCCTAGGACATCAACTCTTTCCTCCAGATTAAAGATTCTCAAGTAACTAATTGAATAAATCATAACTGAAGGCCCAATGATAATTGGAAAGGATGACCAGGCTATTTGCTAAAGAAAAAATAATATAAGAAACAAAAGCTAAACGATGATGGCCCCCAGGGCTTAGTTCAAGTGGCAAAGGTTGAGGGATTTGTGACTTAGGTCACTGGTTCAAGCCCTGAGCCATGTGAACTAAGCCTGGTATTTAAGTGGAGAAGGGTAGAGGGGCGAGCCCATTATCCCGGAGTTTCGAAGGCGCGGTTGGCCCCAAACGGATTTCTCAGTCATAAAAAAAGGGAGCTAAATGATGATGTAGCACCAGAAGGCAGAAGAGAGAGAGGTAAAGGAAAGAAAAGTGAATGGGGGAAAAAGAGAAGTAGGACCGAATCAACTCTGTAGATTCCGGAATATGCCCCGAGATTGATCTGAATATCCAGAAACAGAAAGGGACTTGCCAGATTCTATGGTCTGAATATCCAAAATGTGAAGAGCATCCTGTTGTAACTAGATTTAATTTTCTTGCACAGCTAAGCATGAAACTAACAACAGCATATGCAAATATTTTTGTAAATGGAATACAGCCTAAACATCCATCACGAGTAATTGTAACTAACAATGATATTACATAAGGCATTTGTTTCCCAGGAGAGGGGTGCAAGGTACCTGTTTCTTGAGCAATTTCTTTTTTCTTGAGATGTCACCACCTACACGAACAAAGATGGAATGTAAAACAAATTATGAGATCATACATATCTTAAGTTTTAAGAGAGTTTAAGATGCTGCAGGAAACATCATCAATTCTAGATTCTCTGCAGAAGCGGAATGAAAATTCTTACAAGGAACTTTGATATTTATATCATTCTAAGAAACAGATCATTAAGATAAAATAAAGACATAAAGAATAAGAGATAATCAGGATACTCTGGAAAGCTTTCATTTCAAAACATGGAAAACATACTAAGAGACCTAAACAGCTATAACATAAAAGGCACTTCATTGGCATGTGAAACAGTTCAATGCAACTCTTAAACTGTAGATTATCATACTGTTGGACTCATCTTGTAATCTTACCATAGCACTTAGCGAGAACATCCTTCCTGATAGCAGATATAGCCTCGCTGGCAATAACTTTTGAGCCAATGGTTGCCTGTCATGACACATAAAGCATTCACTAAAACTAATATGCAAGGAATAGTATGAAAGATCAAGACAGTTTTACAGAATTTAAGTGACGACTTCCTATTTAGTGCTTGAACTCATTAGCAGAAAAGAATAGCACTATCAATTTATTCAGATACAGATTTCCTTAACTCAACTAACTACAGAGAACAATGCAAAAGCATCATGTAATGATTTAATAAGTGAATATCTCGATAACTAATTCCTTTCTATGGATAATTTATGTGGTATTCATTTATAAAACAGAAACAATGATTTTGGAAAGAGTCCAATATGGGACCTAAGTCTTCCAGACCAGAAAACCACAAGAAAAAACTAGTAATCAACAAAAGCAATGCTATAATATCATTGTTTTACTTTTCCATCTCCTTTTTCTTAAAATTTTGATAAGGTACTATCCAATATCATTGTTCACTAAAGGAAGTTAATTTATGAAACAGACTAGTTGCTTTAGCCGATAGGGATCATTTGCCGACATTGATTCAATAGAGAGTGAAAATAAACTAGTCCCAAGGAACTAGGTAAAATCATCAACTAAAACCATAAAACTTTGTGTTGGGACACTCTCATTCTTTACCAAATGATGCACATGCAGTCTTGCTTCTTGTATCATGTGTATCATGTCAACTCCTTGCAAATTAAAGCTTCCATGCATTTACTACATTAGCTCCTGTCATATCCACGATATTACTACATGTTACACTTAGCCATTGGTTTATTCAAGCGGCTATGTGTTTTGGGAATCATAATTTGGGTTCTCCATGTTGAACTTTTCTCATATCTTGTTACAGCAATAGAAGTCCAAATCGCATGAAAGCTCTAGTTCTAAACTAGCCTTTTTACCAGCATTAATTAAGTAAAAGGTTCAAAAATATCTTGTAAAATCCTTAACTACTTTTCCCTTATCAATAGGTTTTGGCTGGACACCCAGCTTTTTCAACAGTGAAGCAACCACTAACCAGAAATCAAATTGAAGGGACACACTGGTTTAAGAAGTTCCTGCATTCTATTGTTCTAATAGTATTCATGAGGTAAAAGCAAAATTCCTACCGCTATATTGCACTTGAGAGAAAACAACTTCTCGTTCTATTCCATTTTGAATGTCTTGATTTGTCTTTGCAGGACAATTAAAGGTGAGTTCAAAATGTAAATGGTTACTATATGATAGAGGAAGGTGGGATGCCACAAGTTATTTTTTGTCTCTGGGAGTAGAAAAGAAAAAGTGATATTCAAATGTGAAAGAAGCAGCATCTAACACCATGATTTGTTCAATATAAGGCAGAAACAGTCATGCTCTAATCGGATGAGTAAGTACAGCCCGATCAACATGTACAACATTGCTTCACCTTGAATCCATGCCTACGAGATACTTAAACACACCATAAAACGTTGTTTAAATTACTGATAGCTTTACACTATAACGTGCATACATGTGTCCATTTGTAAAATATCTTTTGGCTTATAAGTAGCACACCGCGTCTCTTTTTATAAAGTCTGCTGCTCGTACAAAAGTCTCAGTGGATTAATCATATGCTTTCTGAAAGTACACATACAAACAAGCACATACCCTTTGTGACAAATAAATCAATATAAAAGTCTGAAAAATTAATTCAGCACTCGAAGTTCAGAGACAATTTGACTGCTCTCTAAGCGACACAACAAAACGGGAGTGGAGAGGAAGAAATGGACTTGTTATTTAGACTCCAGGATAATGTCATCAAAGATTGCATCGACTTAAAGTCAAGTATACAATTCAACGTAAAACTCAAAAAGGAAAAAGAAAAAGAGTTTGTAGCCTATACAAAACTCTTACCTCAGAAGAATGAAGACACCCCTGAAATCAGATTGATGTGAAATACATACCAAATAATGACGCATTACTCTAGTGCAGAACTCATACTAATTGATGATGCACTACTCTTCGAATTCGCTTTAATACTTCATGAAACAGCCAGCAAAGAGAAACATGAAATCAAAAAATAACTGAATTCTTGTCATATAATGAAGGAAAACATTGTGCAATCCGTGCACCGGAGTCTTCCAAATGGATGGCCACCGATATAGGCACTTTGGATAGTAGTAGGAGACTAACCAGAGTAACTAAGACTTTCTCCCTAAGAAGAATAAGAGCATGAGAAGTATAGCGATGATACCAACACTATATATCAATGA